TCAATCTTCATTTAGGGATTGCAAAGCGAGTTGATGACCAGCAGGCTGCTGAAGTTTTCGAATACTTGCCATTTTTACGGCCCTCGTACTTCTCTGGTGGCATAATCTCATCGGCACAGCCATAGACATCGGCTTCAAGTCATGCCTTTCGCCAGCTTTGGAGCACACTGCTTCTACATCGATTAGTAGTTGGATTCTTTTGCGCCCGTATGTGTTTTGCCGTCTACCTTGCATCGGTATAGCTTACTTCCCCCACCCCACCCGTTGCCAAAAAACCGGACTGTCAAGTTACCAACTTTATCAAAACCAGAAAAGTTGGGAAAGCCGACATCCCACTGCATCTACAGCCAGTGGGTAAGCGTGGAACAGCTGGATCGAATCATGCGATGCTACCAACTGTAACGCTTAACTCCAGACTCGTTACAAGCTTCATAGAAAGTCATCGAGTGTATTTCAAAGGCTCTCCCCCTTCCCAATGATAGAGCGTCTCAGGGTACCAAAATAAGGGAGAGATAGCTGGGGTGCGCGTACGGCTGCACCCTTTAATCACTCCGAGAATTCACAGCTAGGTGAACATGACAACTCAGACCCAGAGGCAAACGCTTCGTCTCATTGAATGGGGCTAACAATACAGGGCCACATGTAAAATACACGAACAGACAAACCAATTGGTCAAATCTTAGCTACTGATGTACTAAGATATGCCAAAGTGCAGCTTAACCCCGCTGCAAGGGGGGAGCTATTTTGCAAATGGACTAAGCATTCAGAGTTCTATGCATTCTTGTGAGTGTGCGACTGGAAGGGTCTGTCTCTTTAGACCCCAATAGACGCTTCACGCGTTACATAAATCCGTCGGCAATGCAGGTCCATGGATAAATAAACTGGAAGTGCTGCGGTCCTGGGCGTAGACAATTATGCTTTACACCATTTTACATCCACAACAGTGAGTTTCCGCTTCCTGACGAATGCACTGCTTGTGCCACCGCTGAAGGCTCACGTTTGACTTTCATTGTGCCCAGCGTACTTGAGGATCCCGTAAGAACCAAACTTCTGGATGGAAATGCTCCGAATGTTTTCGCAGAGGTAAAACTCGCCGTCAACTTGGATGGCCATCGAGATGTTATCTCTGAATGTTAGCATAAATGGGCCAGAGCCTTGCAGTATTCGTCGCGCCGCGTTTGCGCCGACCTGAACGTACACTCGCCCAGAACGTACAAAGCAAAGCGTTGGGGTTTTGAAAGGGACCAAAAGCAAACAATGTGCCATCCCTAAGCCCAACTCCTCTTGATTCCCTTTAGCTTCCACTAGTCGAGGTGTACTTACAACTTGTGCGTTAAAATAATCTGCCGTAGACTCCATAGAAAGCACCTCGAGCATGCCGTCTCCGGTGCTTGATTCCGCGGTCAACAGCTGGTGATAGAAATGTTCGAACTGTGGCAAAACTGCGGGGTCGGCAGGGGGCAGCACGCCCACTTTCACTGTAGGCCTCCACAGTTCGAGGCCTCCAAGAATGGTTCTCGTGTTGAGAAACGTTAAAGAAACGCACGCTGGTGACAACACAAACAACGCAGGTGGAAGGTCGAAAGTAACTGACTGAAAAAGGAAATGCAAATGCTCATTCATGAATAAACTTGCAGCAAGAGTCTAATCGACACAACACTGTACATAGGAACACTGAAAACGTGCTGTCGACACTTATTCCACCCCAATAATCTGTGCAGTTGCCTTTGTGCCTCGAGTTTCATGCCTTACGCATAAGTCGAGGCACTTTCTTGTACTTCGGGTTGTTGGAGAGCACAGCCAGAAGACCGCTGGCTCTGAGGGTGTATATGGTATCGATGGCTGAACAGACCTCCAGGTCCGTGCTCGCAAACCGCAAGAAGAGAAGGCCATACACTAGACGGTTCCAAAAACGAGACTTGCCACGCATACGGTCAAAAACCGAGCCCACCAAACCTTCGAACCTATGCAGTGGGAGTAGCAGAGGCACACACACACACACACATATGTGAATGGGATTGAGATTAACAAGAAGCTGAGAATGAATTGGGAATGGTCAGTCCGAAGAAGAGTTCACAGTTGAAAGAGGAGGGGGAATTGCACAAAAAGTGCACGGCAACAGGCACAGTGGTCGATAACGCGGTATGTACGAGCGTTCACGGAACTAGGGTAAGGGCAAAGAGAAAGTGACCATATGCTGAGAGATGAATTCCCATAGGACCACAGACGACAAGCATCAAGGATATTTCAAACCCATGCCAGTGAGGGTGCAGGCAAGGACAGAATGTGCATGGCCGGCACGTGCAGGTTGAGCTGCACTAACGAAACCAGCTTAGGCAGGGGTCAATCTCCATTTACGTGTACATACACATACAGTTATACATACGAATATATATATATATATATATCAATGAGTTACCCGATCCCAAAGTAGTTGCTCATGATGAAGCGTTTCGTGGTCCGCCCTCCATGTCTGTCACTGCCTAAAACCACTGATCTGTGGTCTCTGGAGCTCCACTTGTTAAAGCTGCCGGATTCGGAATCCGTAACGACCGTAACTTTCCAAAAGTCATGAAATAAGAGCTCGGAGGACCGGAGGGTGGAGAGCAATCTTTGAATACTGGGGGCACCCACAGGACAGAGAAAAGGGGCACGAGTCATGTTTGCATGTACACCCGGCTGCAGCGGGTACACAAAACGCATAGGCGCGCACACATACATGACGATCGGGAAGAGATAAATGAACATACATGGCATAATCCACAGCGAACCCAACCGAAAGGCGAGCAGCACGTATGCCGCAGTGAAGGACAGCAGGACTTCAGCACGGAAAGCACAAGAACGTCAAGGCGTCCAGATGCAACAGGCCAAAGAGAAAGATTTGCAGGGCTGAGCCGCATGATTAGAGGCACAGAAAGACGTACAAAGTAAGACTCGAGGAATGGATTCCCTAGGCAATAAAGTGCACGGCTCCGGGGAGGCCGATGCAAATGATGCAAGACGAGGTGAAGCGAAGAGATCAAGAGACCCAGAGGGCAGACGAGAGGGTCTGGACATACGCGCTTAATGCACCCTAGCATAGTGCATTTGGCACCCTTTTCAACAAGATGTCTGCCTTACTTCTTGTCACTGAGAGGAGCATGTGAGGGGAAACCGGCATTGACCCATCCATAGGTGTGGGCCAAGTCGTTCCCTGTTCCCGAGGGAATAATGCCAGAAGCCACCCATTCCATGTCAGTTCCTGCCTTAGAGATAGCCATCATCATCCATGTGAAGGCGCCGTCTCCTCCCACCGCTATAACCCTTACCCGCTTCTCCAGTGGTACAAGGGAAGCAGGCGACGAGCCATTCTGGGTTGTTTCCGCTGACCGTAGCTGTTTAACAGTCTCTACTGCTTGTATAATGTGCTGGATGCCTAAGTGCTCGGATTGCGAGTCCGTCTGCGAGAAAATTTTTAGCTCAACGCAGCCACTTGTCGCCGTTCCCATTGGCAGCGTTTGAAGAAACTTGGCCCCAAGACGGCTGCCAGAGACGGGATTTGCGAATAAGAAATACAGCTCTGTTCTGGCACCGCAAACCCATTTTGCTGCCTCGACCTCGGCTTCGGCACGAGTGCGCGGAATTACGAGGTCCTCGGCCTTTTGCCCCTCTGGCTCCTCGGAAGGGATTTCTGGCAAGCCAGACAGAGGAGGAAGAGACGCTGTTGAAAAATCATCAGCCTCCAAAGATGGCACGGGTTCAACAACCGTTGTGGCGGTTGGATCCACAGCATCCCCCCGTTGAGAACCTGCAGTGGGTAGTGATACCCTATGCTCAACGCCTTTAGCACCAGTCGCAATTTCCGCTTTATCAGGCACCACAAAAACCAAAAAAAGCAACAAGATCTGTATGGTAGATCGAGACAAACTCAGAGGAGCCCTACATGAAGAGACACGGGCTGGAAGCATCGGCGCCGGAAAGGTCATTATGATTACTCTACATGCCCCTTCCACTGCAAAAGCATTAGATGCTTTGCATGAATGCCTGTCCACCTCAAACAAGTTAGGAAAAGTAAACCGGAGAAGCGCAATGAGAACGTGGGAACGCAGCAGGAGCACGTGCACTCCAGGGCGTGGAATGCGCTAGAATACTGTGAAGGAAGGGCACTGAGTGTTGCATCAGTCAAGCGTTTTCGATGCAGGCTCTCTCAAAATACAAAGGAGATATGATATCCTGCGCGTTTAACCGAGGATATCGCTGGGTTGAGGATTTTTGAGGCACTCCCACAGGTTACGCACCTTCAGCGTTGAGTGTGGACGCCGAAATAGCGACTCGTGAGAACAGTCGTTCCTCGACTTACTTACATTTAAAACCGACTTTACCGGAAATGCTTCTGCAATTTGGGTGGCTACATATCCCGATTTTGCTGAGGAAAGCTTATACCATCTGTACGCATCCTCTTGTGCAGAATGCTACATCTTACCGCAGCGAGGACATGCATATGTACAAACATATATACCTACACCAACAGCTTTAAATGCCGCAAATTACCATGCCATTCACCGTGCGATTTGGTTTTACTGTAATGAAATCGCTACCAAGCAGAGCATCAGTGCCATATACCACATTTCCACGAGTGTATGTTCTAAAACGTCACCTTCTTGGAGCTTCCAGTGGTCTCCATAAGCACAGCCTTAGCCCATGCCCGATACGAAAGTTAAGCACAAAATTCCAAAGTACCTGGTCCAAGGAGCTTCCTCACTCTCACCCCTTCGCTTTCCCTGGACTCTACACAGTACTGCTAGCGTGTAGTGAACGTAGCCCCTTTCTACTGCACAAGCTATATTGAATAAGAATAGGCAAATAATTGGCTATTGCTTTGCCTAGCCGGTACTTTTGCCTTATGGATTGCAGCGCACTGCCAAGTCGATACAAGAAGGTGTAATGTTGAGTACCCGCGCGATAGACGCTATGTGAAACAGCTGTGAATTTATTTTAGGGGGGGCAACTACACGCATGCCAGTCGTCCCTCTCTGCTTGTTCGGGGACTCTGAAAAGTGCGGGCAGTTTATGGCGGGGGTTCTCTTGAGAAACACTCAAGAACTTTTTATTAGGCTTGTCTTGAGTCTGAAGTGAAATGTCGCCCTACGGAGACCGTAGATGGAGCCCTAATAGGATGTATTTAAGTGTGGGACGGCTCGTTATATCTTCTATCCTCTCGTCCACTTCAGAGCACACGTCTTTTTCGTATCTGTGTTTTGGAACATGCACGATGGCAGAACAGTTTCTGCCCCATCGCTGCTCCCCTGGTGGACAGGAGCGCGGAACGGTGCGACTGAGAACAATTAAGAGCGCACTAACCATCAAAATGAGGTCAATAGTAATAAACACATGCATATGAACCAGGAACGATGGAGGGACCATACCAACACGACCGTGGTGACGCAATGGCTCGCTGTCGTCGAAGAGCTGACATGTGTGGGCGTCCTGCTACGAGAAAACAGAAGACAGGTAAGATGAATGAAGGAAAAGGAGGTGCCCACTAATGCGACAGTGCCTCCACGCCTCATAAGGTAGCGTCCGCGAGCAGATTCAGGTAGCAGCGGCATGCAGCGTAGTCGGCTTCAAACCCCCACAAGAGGCATTAGGAAGAATGTAAGTCAATATACCTGAGAGTGCCTATGCATTGATCTGAATGGTGATAGCTGAAAATCATTCAATCAATACTCATAAACGCTGAAAGCTACTCAAGGCGGAGAACGTGCGCTGGGGAAGGAAATTTATCAGGAAGCGTGAGTTATACCATCCTTGGCGACTGGCGCTACCTACGCAGACCCGTAGATCCTCCCGCAGGTCTAATCCATCAACCAACGAGGTTGCCGTTCCCCATCCTATGGTAACCAGAACTCCCCTTTGCTGTCCCCTCAAAACTCAACAGCTCTAAGATCTAGCACCATCACGGCACCGTGTGGATCTTTCGCATCCACACGGGATAATTGAAGTTGCGGAAAAGTCCGCGAATACTTTCAATAATCTTAAAACTTCTGCAAGAAGCCAATGTCGTTATTTTTGTGGCACCTCCAATTCTCGGAAGAATCGACTGAGTAAGTAGGAGAGGATATTGTTAGTGGATGACGGACGGCCCTAGCCACTTAGCCGATGAAACCTTCGTTTTGTACCTTCGAGTGCACCTCTAATAGCCTGTTTACCCATCAGGAACAGAGAAGCAGGCTCGAGACGCACTGCTGAGCGCCACTGATCGTGGTTCTGTCTTTGTCTCTCTCAAGCTGTGCGCCTTACCGGCATGCCGTTGCCAGCTCTTTGCTCACTCCCTCCGCTACAAAGGACGGTTGCTAACTCCGGACCACCGAGAACAGGCCCGAATCGGAGGAGCAATCCTCTCTGTAAGCCGCAAATTTGGAGGAACAATGGGTAGATGGGGGTACAGTTGTCTTATACACCCACCCAGTACAGGAAAGACAAACCGGCCAAGCAATTTGAATGTTGTGAGCATAGAGTCGCAAGTACTTCAGAAGACCACGGTCGATGCTTTTTCTTTATTCATCCGCCTCAGGGTGGCTCGCATTTGTCATAATATGGTCACTGTGTAGGGAATTCCTAGAGGCGCAAAAGAGCGCACTAGCAGGATTCCCATCCACAAAGATGCTCCTGATGGATTCATCGCGCTTCCGAACATTTCAAATTTAAATTAAGCAGCTTTGTGAGCCCTGGCAAAGTGGCACCAGGAGCTGAAAAGGGCATATATGCTAAGCCCATCGGCAACAGCGTAGATGCCGACCTGACCTCTGAGCTCCGGCAGTCCAACAACAAAGTCCATGATCAGATCAGTCTAGCTTCTTTTAGGGGCTGAATGCTTTGCAAACTGCCGGGCGTAGGCAAATCGAGCTGCCTCGGGTGTCTACATCATGAGCATGGCAGTGCGTACTCTCCTGTCAAAGGATGCACAGGCCACCAGAATCGTGAGGGCCTTTTAAGTGTATTATGGGCTGAAGTAACATCATGTGTCTTGTGAAAACAACAGTGCAGAGCAAAGTCAATATGTGCAAGTGATGGAATCCCGGCCGTGGTCTGAATCACAGCAGGGCATCATTCACTTGTTAGGGTTGTACCTTTTGCTGCTCTGAAATTCGGCAGCGGTAGCGGATGCATGGGTGTCAAAAGCATTAGGCACACACGATCTTTACAGACGCGGTGAGTAATCCGAGACACGAACGGATGCGCCGCACATTGGTGAATCGCTGAAGTGTCACGAGACCGCGTCGGCGACCACGTTACTGACTTCCTCAAAATACATTTTTTCAAGTCTTCCCGCACGAGGCACCCAAGCCAGCGAGCGGCTCTCCGAATATCTAAGTCCTGAAAACTCCCTGCACGGTACAGTAAAGGATGAAGGTCGGTCTGGGCAGCGAAATGACGAAGAGATTATAGTGCCCATATTTTTACGCCTGATCACAGTGCGCAGAGTTTCTGCGCTTTTCTTGCACTGTATACCGCTCCTCTGTCTTGATGAAGCAACGAGAATAAAAACCAACAACCCGTTGTTGTGGAGAATCTGTAGCATGTTCGGAGAAAACAGTACCCACCGATACGTCACTCATATCGGTTATTGGAAAAGGTGTGAGGCGGCCGATATGCGTTCCTGCTGCGGCGTCACCCTCCTTTGGGCAGGCGTCAAACTGCGTATTATTATAAAGATCACCACACGGAACAAACCCAGTAATGAAATGTCAGTAATATGATACAACCCGATAGCACTTTGCACCGTCTTTGCCGTTGCAGAAGGTTAGAGGCCATGACTTGATTGCTTCACTTTTACCAGGTCTGGCAATATTCTTGCAATTGAAAGCGGGATTCCCGCAAAGTAATTGATATCACGGAAATGGTACACTTGCCTACATTCACATGTCAGTGCTTGTACCGCGTCAACTGAAGCGCACGCAGTAAGTGCTATAGGTGTTTGAACGTTTCGGCTGAAGACTACGCCTTCGTCCGTGTGGGCAGCCACCCTCGTCGGTTGGCTCATCAACATTCCGCAAAGCTTGCCGCTACAGCTTGGCCGGACCTTTTACAAGTCTCAACAAAATAAAAGTATATCCGAATTCCTGAGGGCGACTGTGAGAGGCTGTATTGTGCGTTTCATAAGGGCGGTTGCAATTGTAATAAAGCGTCTGTGAATGCACATGCCCAATACACTGTGGATAAACGTAGTTTGCCCATAAATTTGCCAATATGGAGTACTTAAAGCCTTTGCTTTGCAGAGATCGTGTTCAGGGACTTTGAGCTAATGTACATGCGCCACCTTCCATCCTTTTCTGGCATTAGGAAAGTGTCATGCCCAACGCGCTGGTTGACTTCTGCACTTTGCCTTCAGCAAAGCATATGCCTGCCGCTCAATCTATTCTTCCTATCGTACATACATCGGGTACGACGAAGCTTAGCTTGAAACTAACCCCAACGTTAGCTCAATCGTATGCTGGCCGGCCCGAAGGCGAGCAGCCTGGTGCAAGCTCGCCGTTATTCAGCACTCAGCGAGACCCCCTAGATCTTTGTGCATTCCTGTTGTTTCTCGGCTTAAGTTCAATAAAATTTTCCCCTAGAGGACCAGTGGCAGAGCTACTGAGACAAAATGCATTCTCTGTAGTGTCTTTCGTTACCGCACTAAGGAACCACCCGCATAGGCACTTTGCCTCACCTTACCGAAGCACCCACTCTACACTGCTTATCATGAAGAATAAATGCGTTGCTGCGGAGACCAGACACCACTTCTTCCTAGCGTCTTCCGGCACAATAAACGTCATAGAGTGCAAATCTGGCTGCATGCTGGCTCGCCACTGGGCAACAGACGGCATAGCTAGGGTTATCTTACGGTGAACGGATCAAACGTACACGTAACAGACCATGCTGAGATAGCTCTTTCACCTGACGTGCCTCTTCCTTTTCAGTCATAAATGCAGGGGTTGTACTCATTCGCTCCTGAAAGCTCAACTAGTGGACTATTTGTGGATGCGCTGCTGGTCAGGTGCTCAATCGCTGAGTGGCTGCCCATCCTGCGGCCAGCAAAGCGACACTTTGGAAAGACTTGACTAGCCACTGGTAAAACAGCTGCTCATATACGTTGTTGCCTCTGCGAACGAAGGCATCAAACGTCTCGAAATATTGATGGATTGAGAAATTGCCCCTCTTCAGCTATCTCAATTCTTCCAAAGCTGGGCCTCGAGCTCATCTCGGCACAACCCGAGTATTCAGGGCTCGTGTGGAGGCTTGAACTGTAGGAATCCGTGCAGGCCGACAACTGCATTTACATGAACTAGAGCGACCAGCCTACATGCTCCTGCTTTAAATAAGCATGTAGGAAGGAGCAGTCTTCTTCCATCATCTAGGGATTGCAAAGCGAGTTGATGTCCAGCAGGCTCATAAAGTTTTAAACTCTTTCCCATTCTTACGGCTGTCGTGCTTCTCTGGTAGCATAACCTCATCGACACAGCTATACACATCATACCGGCTAACAAGTCATGATTTTGTACCAGCTGTGGAGCTAATGCTTTTACACCAGCTTGCAAGCCTCTGCCGCCTCCGCACGCGTTGTGCCACCGACCAGTGCCATCGCTAGAGGTTGACTTGGTTTTAAGACTGTGCGCATGGAAAAAATAAGATTGGTGGATTGTCAAGTAGCTAAATCGAACATAGACAAATGTTTTGTGGCGGTGCGACATCCCATTGCATCCACAGCCAATGGATGATCGCATTGAACTATACAGTGCTACCAACTGTGGCACTCCATCTACGGTGCCTGTAGGAAGACACACAGCTCCAGGTTCAATACAAATTTGTAAAATGTTATGGAGATTTTGTCGTTAGAGCTTCACCCTTTCCCTTCCCGTGCTCATTAGAGCTCTTGACACAAGAGGAGAGTGGTAAGAGCTAAAGTACGCATAGCTGCACAAGTTAAGCACTTCACGCATCACAGCTATTTTGACAAAGCGTCTGGAGCACATGCACACAGGATCGGTGCAACGTGCATCGAGCTAACGCTGCAACGCAACAATAAAGTATAGGAGCAGACCAACCAATTAGTCAATTTTGCACTAATTCCTAGTATTATGGCAATGGAGAGAGCTAAAGTGTCGTGTAGCCCTTGTGTGGGCTGGGTGATAGCCGCCGTCCTGAGGCGTGGAGGCACTCCGCTGTGTAAGCCTGAAGCCACTTAGCATTCCTTATAGCATGCGCACCCCAGAGAGTTGGCAGCTGCGACTGCAACAAAGTAGTGTGTGGCATAGCGGCCCCGTTTGGATCCTTTAATGCGTATAAGGAATAAGTGTACTAAAAGTACGTTTCGCTTAACACCGAGGTAGGATACTCCTCAAGTTTGCGCTTGGTGCACACATTTGCCCCTTTCGCGGCTTTTATTCATGGCCCTCTTAGGGGACTGCGTAGTTCCTACGGACCCGCGTGAATCATTGAGAAACGGAATCAAGGCTCTAGCTCGCCCTCTGCTCCTCTACTCGCCTTTTCTGTCCGCTCCTGACCCCACAGAAAGCGCACGACTGCTGCGTCTACACGCCTAGCGGAGTTCTTGAAACGCCATGCAGAAAAGCTTGAGAAGGCGTAAACCGGGAACATGTCTGAAAGGCAGGAAAGATGGCGGTGCCCCGAGCGCTTCGCCCTCAGGTGTCACCATGGGGGCCAGTAGGGCTTCAGGCCCCTCCTAAGGGCCCCAGCGCAGTTCGGTGCCTTCTTCAGGCTAAACGAATCGCTAAAGTGCTTCTCCCTAAGACAAAGGAGGCCTCTTTCACGATGGGGGGCCCTCACGACTAGGCCGCAGAATCCCAAGTCTTCGCGGGCTGCTACTAGCGACGCGCGTTACACCCCCCCACCTATTCTCCCTAGGCCACGCGCTGTCTGTCGCATCTCTCTCCCTCGAACAATACTATGCCCCTTCGCACGACATTAGCCCAGGCCCTCCTGCTAGAAGCAGCAGGAGGGCCTTCCAGACTGGCGGCTGCCGCAGTGCGTCCGCCGACATGGAGTGCCAGGAAGACTTCCTAAGCCTTTCCCGCTGCCGCGCTCTGCCTACCACAGGCAAGAAACAGACACCAGTCCCCTCCTTCTTCCCTCGCGTTTTACTGGTCTCGCTTCAATTCGTTTCGCTCTACATCATGGGGCCAGGAGGCCTCATCATGGGCGGCACGCTGCCCATCGACGGCTGCAATCCGGGGGGCGGCATGGCGCCACGGCCCATTGGGGGCCCCCCCATCATCTGATGGGGAGCGGGGGCCCCCACCCCCCGCACAGGCCCTGCCAGACCAACTGGAGCAGCACCCAGAGGAGCCACTGTAGGGACACCCCGGCCTGCAGGGATACCGCGCCCTGCCCCCGCAAGTGTGGCGTCGGGGCGCTTCGACTGCTGCTGGGGAGGGGCCTCTGCGATGAAGGTGCAAATGTTTTCCCCTGAGAAAGGGAAGGCAGACGGAAACGCTACGCACAACGTGTAGTGATCAGCGGCACGAGAGGAGGACGCAGAGGCAGCACACCTCAAGGCAACGGCGTCCGCAGGGTGTCTGTGCATGCTGCAAAAAGCTGGCGTGGGCTCTTGCTTCGCATCGCAGAAAAACTGCACCTGCACTCTCCCCATTCTCCCGCGCGTTGAGCCTCTGTGCAAGGGTCTTCCTTGGCTTGCCTCTGAGAAGAATCAGTCCAACAGTTCGCTTCAGCTCCTTCTCCTCCACTACAACTCCCTTTCCGTCAACCTTGCTCTTGGTGCGAACCTTGCGAAATTCTTCTGTGTCGGCCAGTACAACATTCATATGGCGGTCGAAGGCCAGGAAGGTGCCCACCAACATGCGCGAGTCCTATAGATCGGCAGAGAGAGTTGCAGAGGCGGCAGATTGCAACGGCGGCTAAGGGTTGGCAAGAGACAAGAACACGGTGGCTCCAACAGAGCCAGAGGTACATACATACAGAGGCACACACGGAGAGCAGCAGCGAGGTGCTACAAAAAGCGCAAGGGCGGCGCGACAAGCCAACGAACAGGCAGCTACGGGCTGTTGCACTCAAGCCAGAAAAGGGCCTAGGGGCGCGCGTAACTGCAAGATGAGGCCCTGTATGCTTGGGGAAACCAGAAAAGCGAGGGGGGATGGAATGGGGAGGGGGAAGAGGGAGGGAGCGGAGAAGGCGCGAAAAAAAGGCTGGCGAGCACGCTGCAGAGGGTGAAGTTGCAGAGAGCCGAACACAGTCTGTGCATGGAGGCACTTTCACGGAAAGAGAACGCGGGATATAGACGTTGCAAAAGAAGGCGAAACCACGAAATGCACCAGTAGCGCAGGTGGGGTGATGCACGGCGTGAGCAGGCGGGGGAGAAGGCACAACAAGCGCAAGGCTACTCAATGAGGGCCTCATGACAAGTGGAGGAAGCGGGGATGCTCATGCAGACGCAGAAACAGCTAGCCACTAGCCACAATAGCAGGTTTTAGCGTTCGGAATGCCAGGAGGGCTGCCCGCCAGGGAGGCCCCAGGGAGTTTTTGCCTGTTTAGGAGCTCCCTAGGCCTTTTCTGTGCTTTTCACAATATTTAGATGAACAGAGAGACGAACTAATCATGCTCAGAAGGTACGATAGACCGTGAAGCTCGGCCACTACGCCGCATGCACGAATAGAGACAGACCTGGAGCACCACTCTGACCCTGTAGTTGAGCCATTGCTGAAGCCTGGCATTCTTGCTTGGCATTTTCAAAGGAGGCAGGCAGACCCTAGAACGCTATGCTCCAGAATGTACAGCTCAGCAACCCGACCAGCACTGCTCTCGGGTGAAACTGCAGCTGCTGCCGCTGTGGTGCTGTCGAGGGCGCGAAAAGCAGAGGACCCGAAGCGAAGGAGAAAAGAGGGAGCCGGTTCAATGAGGGACGTTTGGGGGTGGCAGCAAGCAGGGCATAGAAGCAAGACCACCAACAAACGCGAGCTGCATGCAAGAGAGGCCCAAGGCCAGCCACTACACGGTAGCGTAAGCCGTCATCATCCCCAAGGAGCCCCCTCTCACCGTACGGTGCCTGTAGCGCGGAAACTCCGGCCCTTCAGCTTCTATTCTGATATTGCGCCTCTTAATAAAACCCCTTTTCCTTTGGCCCTTCTTTTCTTCATCTGCTTCGCCAAACTGCTGTGGGCTTTACCCACGAAGGGCACACGAAATGCCACCCGGCGCCACTTGCCCCCCTTCCCTCCCCCTAGGCCCCCTCCTCGCAATGGGCCTCCCACAGTCCTCTATAGGAAACTATAATGCCGTAAACGAAAGAAGGAAACTAGGGAATTCTACCGTAGAGCTGCTTCTGTGTGCGCAGCACAACAATTAGCTTCAAGAGCACACCGCCCCTCAGCGCTGCTGCTACCAGGCAGATGCAACTAGTAAAATCAGGGAACATGCGGTTTCGCTGTGCACCCTAACGAATTTTAGCGTAAAGGGTAGCCAGTATAGCGGGCCTTCTAACACCAAGAGCCCCAGCCTAGCGGCCATTCAATGGAAGGGGAACGCGCCACCAGCTACAATACACCAGATTGCGGTTGAAGGGGCACGAATGAACAAGGAGGCGTCTTCTTGCGCGCCTAGCGATGCCGCGTCTAAGGCAACAATCATCTCGCTGCATTTCAAATTCCGGAGCAGGAGGCCGCAGAGACCCCTGTCAGAGTTTCACCGCAGTGCTGAACTGCAAGCACTCACTGTACCCCATAAGAGGCGCATCTGATCTTTAAAAAATGGTGGCTAGGCCTCTAGGGCGACATTTTAATATGGCCCTTTATCCTTCTGCCTCCCAAATCACACGAGGTAGGGGCTTGAGGACTTGAGGAAGTCCAGGAAGACGAGGAGGAAACCCATGGCAATGAATGCGTAAACGATATAGATCCTGAATTTGGAATTTCTACTGAGCGCTGTGGCTAGCTGCTTCTCTGCACCTTGCACATTGGCTACCGCCGCATCAGCTAGCGACCCTATCTCGTAACAAGCCTCTGCCTGTTCTGCAACCTTGAGAGCAAACACGTTCATTGTTTGCACGATCTCCTGCAGTTTTCTTTGAATGGATACCACAACGTCAACATTGTCTACAGCAAGGGTAGCTACCAGCTGCTGTTCGTCAGCCAACAACTCGACATCCTGCTGCTGCTCTTGCTGCTGTTGCTCTGGGCCTTCTGCTTCCACGGCTGCAGTCTGCCGCATCCGTTCACTCAGATGCGCCTGCTGCCGCTTCTGCTGGATCCGCATTGCTGCTTCTGCAGCGGCTGCTGCTTCCGCTGCAGAAATACCCGCCGTAAGTGCAACAGACCCCTCGGCGGAACGAGTAGACCCGCTAACAGCCCCCCCCCCCCCGCCAAAAGCAGCAGCAGCAGAAAAATACTGCGTGCACTCCATTTGCTGCTTGAGGGCAGCAATCTCCCGTCGCCGCAACTCGGCTGTCGCTTCCTGCATTGAGGTGTACAGAGACCTTAACACTGTGTGCCTGTGGGCCTGCGCATCCCTCAGCTCCACTTGCTGCTTGTGCGGCTGCAGCAGCTGCTGCTGCCGCAGCAGCTGCAGAGCCACCAAGTCTTTCACATCGTCCCCCAGAGCCTCCAGCCTCTGCGCCTGCTGCTGCTGCTGCCGCACGCACTGCAGCAGCTCAGACACCTCCGCCGTCACAGATTCAGAAGAGGAAACGCTCACGCCTTGGTCGCGGGAGGCACCGACACTATCTGGAGTTGTTGCTGCCCCTGAGCTTCCCCGGGTGGCTCGTCGATACAGCTTTTGCTGCACGCGTTCGAGTTCTCTTTGGCAGCTGCACGCAACGGCAAGAAACGTGAACGCTAAGGCTGCAGCCTGCTGCTGCTGCTGCTGTTGCAGCTGCTGCTGCTCAAGCGGCAGCTGGTCCTTGAGAGCCTCCCACAGCGGGGTAGGCACGGGAGGGAAGGGCCAGGGCCCTACACCGGCGAGGCTTAGGAACTCCTGAGTGCGGTCCGTCATTCTGGAAGCTGGCTCAGCTGCGACACATGCCTGCCGCGCTACTGCTCTTCATATGACGGATGACGCGTCCGAAGGCCCTCAGCACGCGAAAACGCACAGAAGAGCGCCTCCGGAGGCCCTCATTGGCTCCAGAGGGCTTGGTTTGTCGGCTTGTACTCCTTGTACCGGTTGCTGCTGTCGCTGTCAAGACAGCGTAGTTCAAGGGAGCTGCACAACCCTCAGAACCCCGGGGGCAGGAACGGCGGCATATATTGAGCGCCAAAGGATCGGGAGACACATAAAACACGGCCCAACACAGAGCAAGAGAAGAGGGCTCGACGCGAAGCTGCAGCGGCAGCAGCAGTGGCAGCGGCGGCTGCGGCAGTGGCGGCTGCTGTGTAAGGACAGCCGTTCCAGGCAGTAAGAAAGATAAGCGCATTCGAAGCCACACGCGGGCCAGTGGGTGTATTCAAGGGAGCAGGCTTTGCGCATTATGTTTCTAGAAGGAGAGGCGAGAATACAAGTCGTAGCTGCGGCTGCGGCTGGTTCGCTGCTGCTGCTGCTGCTGCAATTCGAATTGATGGTGCAGCAGCAGCAGCACCGGCGGGGCCGCAGCAGCAGCAGCAGCAGCGACAGCAGCAGTGACAGCAGCAGCATCGATGTTTTTGTAGTTATTTTTACATCGTGTTCTTTCGGCCCCTTTCGCTGTGGCTCTTCTCCTCTTGCTCCGCGTCGCTTTCCCTCCTACGAGGAAGGGCCCCCATGCAGCAGCAACACATGTGCAGCAGCCGCCGGAGCAGCAGCAGAACAGCCGCAGCGGCAGCCCAATATCTAGCAGCAAGAAGCGTTTGCAGGCGAAAGCCTTGGGCATTTCAAGGCTAGCCTCCCTTTGTTGGTGTTAAGGGCCAGGTTTAACGACGAAATTCGCCGTGCGGGGCAGAAGTGGCATCTGCAGACAGAAAGCCGCAGAGCTCCCGCGCACGCCGTCTGCTGTCTTTGCTTCTCCAAGGACGGCTTTCTGCGGCCCCTCCCGTCGGACGGAAATAGGCAGGCAAAGGAACGGCGATTCTTCTGGCGTTTGTGAGTGTGTATATAAGTACACAGCGGAAGGCCTTCTTCTCCAGCCGAGGCGCTGCGGGGGCAGCGCTGCAGCAACAGAGACCCTCTTCCTGTCTCTTAATCCCCGGCAGCCGCTCCTGCCGCTCCTTCTCCCTGCGACTTGCTGCCGCAGTAGGGGCAGCAAGAAGGGCCCCACCAGGGAGAAGCTATCCCGGGAGACAGCGGCACATCTGGCAGATGGAAACGGAAGAGGAGCTGCACTATGAGGAGGAATTTCCCTCTGGTCAGGAGGCCCCCGAGGTTCAGGGGGCCCCCGCTGCGGGGCACGACGTCGAAGGTACGTTTTCTAGGCCCTTCTGACTTGCCGCTTGCCGCTTGCTGCTTGCTGTTGTTTGATCTCGGGGATGCCAGGAGTCTCTTGGAGAAGGGGCGGCTGCTCCACGGCTGCTGGTGCTGCGCGTGTTTGCTTCCGCATTTGCTGCAGAGGAAGACGCTGGAGTTCATGAGGCGCAGTCGGGAGAGGCCCCCTCAGGGGGGCCCCCCTCCCTCCATCGCAGCTCCGAAGCCAGTGTAGAGGCAGCGGACTGCATGGGCAACCCTGGGGGCGAGGAGATCCTTGTGGAGGAGGAGCCGCCGCAGCAGCGGCTCCAGGAGGAGGAAGAGCAAAATCAGCAAAATCATCAGCAGCAGCTCCAGGAGGAGGAAGAGCAAACTCAGCAGCAGCAAAGCCAGCAGCAGCAGCTCCAGGAGGAGGAAGAGCAAAATCAGCAGCAGCAAAATCAGCAGCAGCACCTGGAGGAGGAAGAGCAGCAGCAACAACAAAGTCAGGCTTCACGGAGTGGAAAAAGCGATCAGCCTGGGCCTGGTGGACGCAGGACGCAACACCGCGTGGTATGTTTGGACGTGATGGAAGCTTTTGAAGAGGCTAAGGTTTGAGGTGCTTGGGGGAGGGCTTGGATCGCGTGGGGTAGGGTGTTTTCCTGCTGCGCGCAGCTGATAAGCAACTTGGACCCAAGCGTTCAGTGGCAGGATCTGAAGGATTTCGGCAGGAAAGGTCAGCAGTGTAGACGCGGCGGCGCCTCAAGCCCCCATATAGGCAGCAGCGGCAGCGTCTGCACAGAGAGAGCCCTTTGCGGAGTCGGGCTGCTTTTTGCCTCGGCGTGCTCTTTAGGGCACATCGGGGTCTAGAATGTACTGTGCTGCTTCTTTTCTGTGTGTTCTTAGTGGGGGAAGTGAACTACGCGAACGTCATCTTTTCTGGAGGGCGCAAATACGGGTAAGCGCGTAATAGCGGCAGGCAGGGAGGGAGCGCGCAGGAGGATCTCGTGAACTCGGCAGCAGCATGGGCCTTCTGTTGAGGCTTTGAGCTTACTCGCCCTTCTTTTCCCCCTCTTCCCCGAATAGCTCTAAACATTGGCGGCGGCTGCGGCAATCCATTCGTCGGCATGCACACGCAATGCTGGCTGCTGTCTTTTTTCTGCTCGTGGGTCCTTGCGGCTGCTTGCAGGGTTCTGGAGTACTGCGACTCTCAGTCAGTGGTTCTTGCTCTGAGGGAGCTCGAGGGCCTGCGACTTCGGTCGCTTCCCGTGTCTTTAAAGCGAGATCGAGGGGATTTCGACTCCCTGGTAGCCTCGGCACCCCCGAGGTGGGGGGGGCCTCCAGAGGGGGGCCCCCCCAGACAGCAGCTGAGGCAGCAGCCTCCTCGGCCCTCCTATCCTGCGCCTCACCCAAGCCGAGGGCCCCCCGCTCCCAGGTGGGCCCCGGGGCTTTCCCTTGGGTCTCCAGAGCTGCACGGCCGGGAGAGGGCCCCTCCTCCGGAGGTGGTGGGGAAAGAGGCCCTTAGGGGCCCCGACTATCCTACGAGGAGTGGCGGGAGCTATTCGGGGGCGGCCCCTCTGAGGGGAGGGAGGGGGAGAGGCGGCCATGGGGGCGGGGCCCCACAGGGGCCCGCTGCTTTTCTCCTCCGTCCTGAAGAGGGGGGGGCCCAGCACGCTCCTTCGCGGAGCAGTGGCGGCGAGCGGCATCACCAGCCGTATGGAGGCGGATCGGCCCCTTTGCGGGGTGCCAGGGGAGCTCCGCTTGACAGCCGGGGGCCCCCTATCGAGGACGAAGGGTATGTGTCGAGACGGGGCCCTTCTCCTGGGCGGGGCAGGGCCCCTGAACCCTCGAGGGTCCCCCGGCGGTCTCGCTCTCCTTCGCCTTCTTGGAGGGCCCATCCCGTGCATGCGGGTTACAGGGAGCTGACAAGCAAGGAGCCCGTGGATCACTCGGGGAGGAGGATTGCCATGTACGATGCCCCCACGTGGAGGGGAGGAGCCCAGAGAGAGGGGCCCTCGAAGGAAGCAGGGGGGGCCATTCGGGAAGAGGGCCCTTGCAGGGAGTACCCCGGACGTGAGGGGGGCGCGGGCGCGTTCATTAACGGGAGGGCAGTGACTGTTGTGGGCTCCGAAAACCTCCCGTATAAACACAGTGGCTACCATGGGGCCTCCCTGAGGGAGAGCTCTAGGGCCTCTCCCGACGTGCCTTACTCCCGGAGCTCTGCAGCGGCGGCTGCTGCAACAGAGCCTCTGCCGAATCCAGGGGGCCCCCGCGGTGAGGGGTGGGAGAGGCCCTCCAGGGTGCCAGGATCGCCCCGCGTGGGGCGGGGCCCTGCAGGCCCCTCCTCGGCGTTCGGCGGGGGAAGGCTGCCCCCCCCACCCGCTAGGGGGTATGAAGGGGAGGGCCGATCCCGATCCCGCTCATGGGAGAGGAGGCGCTACAGTGATAGTAAGAGGAGGCGCGCCTCGCCCTCCTCCAGCGCACCCTATATGGCGGGTGTGGCCGCCGCGCACCCCGCATCACCCCCCGATGGGGACTGGCGCGGGATATCTACACGGCCAGAAGAGGCTCTTCCCGGGGAAGGCGCCCCGCTGCCTTCTTCTGAGTCTCGCCGCAGACATAGAAGCAGGAGTCCCCGAGCAGTTAGAGATAGCTATGGGGGGACCCCTGCGCACCACATGCAAGAGGGCAGATACGTGGGGGCCCAGGCGCCGCTTGGATGCGAAGCTGTGGGTCCCCAGGGAGGGGGCCCCCCGCGACACACTAGGGACCGCCGAGAAGGGGGGGCTGGGGGCCTTGGAGAAGCCCCTCCACCCCACCACCAAGGCGGTTTCTGGGGGGGCACCAGAAGAGACGACAGTTGGCCAGAGCGGGCCTTCCCTCCCCAAGAGACGGCGCCCCCCCCGCAGTACGGCGGCGGGGGGGGGGGCCCCGCGAGGCGCGGGGACTCCCCAGGTGTGCGCCGCAGACATAAGGGCCTCCTCGAGGGGCCGTCCTCTGAGAGCCGTTATGGGGGCCCCTTTGCCGAATTTAGGGGCAGGGGTCAGCCGCCCGCCCAGGCAAGTCTCCCAGCGGGGCAGGAGAGAAGAGGAGGTGCTGGCTGGGGATTTAGGGCCTCCTCCGGGGAAGAGGGCCCCCCTCCTCCGCCTTACAGAGGCCATCACAGCTCCCGCAGAGAAGGGGGGCCGGCCGCTCCCCTTGGTCGCATGGGCGCAGGACAGCCTTCCTACCGCCCTTAGCCAGCGCCAAACAACTTTGCTTCGGGAGGCACCCGAAGGGCTGCAGGGCCTGCGGGATGGGGGGCTGACCGCCTGCTCCCCAAAGCACGCAGGAGCCAAGTTTTCCTTGTGCCTTGTTGCTGAAATTGCTGACAGAGGCGTAGCGGCGGAGCCGCACTGGCTGGTGTGTTCCTCATCTGCTTTCAAGGTTTTGTAGGCTAAGATTAAAGGTTTAGCCTAGTTTGGGGCGGGGGAGAGGGGGGCGAGGCGACGGAAGGAGGCGAATAGGAGTGATTGCATATGCGCATCTTGCACTTGCGGATACGAGCAACCTGACCATGTACAAGCGCTCAGCAGGGGCCACGCTTCTTTACTGAGGCCACAGCGGACAGCCTTACCTGCTCTCCTGGTAGGCAGCGGAGTGCGTTGAAACCTCCTCCGTGTATTTCTGTGTAGGTGGGAGGGGCCCTTTCTACTGCAGCCGTGAGTTTTCCGCGACTCCTGTCCGTAAAAAGTCCAGCTACTGCTAGAGGTAGGCCCTTGCGGGCTTTGGGTTGGCGGCAGCCCGGGCTGAGAGAGCCTGGAATCCTGAGAGTGCCCTTTCTGGCTGGCACACCGTATGGCTCGGTATAAAAGCGATCCTCAGGTACCCCATAGGTTCCCTCCGTGCGCCCCGTGCTGTGTGCGCGTGAAGGGAGTCTGTTGATAATGCGCGAGTAGAGACTGGCAAAGAGACACGCGGGGGGTTGAGGGCACTGAGTCTCTCTAGAGAGGGGACCGTGCACGATGCATGCATGCATGCATCGTGGGAAGAGCGGCAAAGAACTGCAGGTTCGGCACAGCGACGCCCTATAATGCCTAGTGCAGCAGAGGGGGGCCCTTGGAAGTGGTGTTGTCGCTCTAGCGCAGCTTATTTTAGAGGTGGTCAGTCGTTTTAAAGCGGGAGCGACCATATACGGGCAGCGAGGGGCGACGAGCTGCAAGAGCAACACAGTGACGCTCTCTGACGGCGCGAGCAGCCACACGCGCGTCCCTCAGTACATTGCCGCTGCTCTGGTACAAAATATTACTGCAACCTAAGCTTCGCTCTAGGCAGCTGCTGCACTATGTGTGCACGCTGTCTGCGCTAAAAAGCACTTGGGTGCAGGGGGACACCTGTAGTACGCAAGCGGGAGGGGTGCGACGCACAAAAAAAGCGTCTGTCTCCTGCTCCATCAAAGCTTCTCTGGCCTCAAGGGGGACGCGAAGGTACATTGCATTTGGAAGCCAAGGCTTTGGGGCTTCCAAGACGGAAGACTAACGCGCTGAGGATGAACCCTCGCGCTCAAGTGCCTCGCCCAGCCACTCCCGCTGCTGCGTCGCTGCATCAAAAAGGGCACGAAAGGGCAGTGCAGAGTACGCTCTCATAGAAGGAGGACCAGATGAGAAGGGAACCCATGTGGCGAGGGCAGCGCAGGCTACACAAGAAAAGCCTTTCCCCCCGCACCCAAAGAGATATCGAGAAGGCGCAACGGCAAAGGGGGCAGCCTTCAGAGTGAGAACATACAGAGCGCGAGACGTTCTTCAGTAGGCCGTCCGGCAACCTGAATGCAGCAAGGCGCTCCAGATGATAAAAGCAGCACCAAAGGATGACCACTGGGGTTCCTTTGGGCAACGCCAAAAGCACGGTTCATGCATAGAGCGGCATACAACCAGCAAAAGCATTGAGTCCTTCATAGCTGCCCTCTGCTGGCAGTCTGGAAAATGATGAGTACGTCCAAACCAGAGGGAGAAAGGGCCCAGTCGGAGAGAGAGCGGTGTGCAGGAGCAAGCGTGCACTGTGTGTGCCACTACCAGGAGGGGGCATCTAGACACCAGGAAACTTTGAGGAGGCGGTCCTGCAGACGATGCCACAGGGGCATCCCCAACAGTAGTGCAAAAAAAAGCCCACCTCAATCCAAAGCCCCCGGCTGCGGCATCCGAGGTGGTGCAGTTGCTGGAGGGCCTCACAGAGAAGTGCCAGAGGAGCCCCCTTGGCAATTTCTCCAAGTCGCTCCGTACTCTTCTGAGAAGACACAGACATCGTTGTGCCCCAGCGCACAAAGGAGGCGAGCAGTCGACAAAAAAGCCAGCCTTTTCTCGAAAGGCCCACAATAAGGGCTTTACTAAGGTGGGGCACCGAAACGCAGGCAGAGTCTCTCTCTCTGTCTCTCCCTCTGTCTCTCTCTCTCCATCCCGTGTTGCCTCCGCCTGCCCCCATCTTTGCGTCGCCTCCCTACGAAAATCCCATGCCACCAGCTAACTGCACCAATGGGCCGTGTCTGGCCGTCCGCCCCCACCCCACACACATCCAGAAGGCTCTCGTCTTTGATTCCAAGGGCCCGCAGCGCGCGGAGAGTTGCAAGGATCTCCTCGAGCCTGAGCATACACGACCTTGCTTCCGCAAGCAAAGACATATGTGCGCCCGCCCGCTTATCCGTGCGGCCCTCTCTCAAAGGCCACCTCCTTCCGCCTGCCTGCCCTTTGTGCCGGGTGTCTGCCAGACTAGGGCCTCTCTGCGCAGCACCAGCTCAAAGTGTGTGCTCCTGGTGTGCTGCTAAGGAGCACGCAAGGCGCATGCGCCGCCTCTTCGGAGGGATCCAACGGTTAGTGAGCTTGGCGGGCAGCACCCACGGTGGATTCACACGGGCTCTTCCATAGTAACGCCAGTAAGCCGCATACATCAGATGCAAGGCTAACGTACCGAAGCTGCGAGACTCGGCGGGTTACTGAAGTCTCCAGGAGGGCGTCGACTGCTTGTCCTGGCTGATTGTTGATACTCACATACACGTAAACATTATACTATATATGCATATGTATATATTATGTGTATACATAAGTACACGCATGCAACACAAGGGGCACAGGCCCGAGCCCAGGCGACCCTTGCTGCACACGGAGAACGTGTTCGCAGGAAAGACGCGGTTGATACAGGGACAGGCGGAAGGGAAAGAGGGGGGTTCGTGCGGGGGGGAAAGAAGGTGGCGCGTTGGAAGGGCCTAGCAGGGGCCGGCCTCGGTATGCTCTCGGGAAACTTACACAGAATTCCAGGTGGGCAAGGGCCTCTAGAACCAGCAGCGCCTGCAGCGGTTGTAGTTGAGCCGCCTATTCGCAATCATGGAGCGTATCCCACACAGCAAACGCGATTCACTTGGACAGCAGAATCTGCAGCTACCTGAATGCCAAAAGAACGCATGCTCAGCGAGTGGTTTCACAGCCCTGCTTTCGAGACGCAGCCTCGCAACTACCTTTCCTCACCAGGTAGCGAAGCCGCTCAACTGTCTTGAGAAGGAGGGCAACGGACTCCCTCATTTCCATGCTGCGAACGGCGCTAGGCTGAGAGGGCCCCCCACGGCTTTCTGCCGCGTCTGGCTTCGCGCTTGGGGGAGCCTTGGTCGAGTCGACAGCGAGCTGCAGGGCTGGCATGCCGTCATACGTTATGGAGGAAGCGGAGAGATGCATGCAGCAGCAGCGTAACAGCAGCACCAGCGCTGCGAACACAGAGGGGGCCCACAAAGACGTACTAGCCCATTTGCTTTTCCAAAGATTTCCCGCCAATACACCGATTACCACCCCCCATAAAGGCGGCTTCAGGCAACGGCGGCGGGCAGCAGAGGGCCTCGGAGGAAGAGAAAGCAGAGAATGCGCTGCTAGGCAATTCTGCAAGAGCGTCACAAGCAGTTCAATGAGCACTGTGTGAAGTGACCCCACAGTTTGTAGGCAGCAACTCGAAAGCGGCCTCGGCTTCCCGCAAGGTCACATCCGCCAGCAACGCGAAGTGATGATTCAAAGAGAGTGCAGCATGCCAGACGCCGATAAGGGACTCTAAGCACGCGGCTTCATGGAGGAAGGCCGTGTCGCTGTGGACAGAAGGCTCTCCTTTCCCTAAAGCCTCGTGCAGCTGCCAGTATGCAGCTGCTTTTCCTTCTCCCGAGGCAGCAGACGCTAGAAGGCCTAAGGGCGCGGCCAGAGGCTCCAGCAATTCCACGAGGAGGCCCTTGCCGCCAGTATTGGTGCTGGCGCTGCTGAGGCTGTTGCTGCAGTGGGGAGCAGCTTCTACAGCAGGGATGCGAGGCTGCAGAAGCCTCTCTGGAAGCAACACGAACGGATACAGAAGCGATTGAGGGGCGTTGACTGCGGCTGCCACGGCCGTAAGGGCAAGCGATCCTGCCTGGGAGATCAGAAGGGCCTCTGCATCGGAAAGAATGTCGGGGACGAGCTGGGGGCCTCCTGCCAGAGACCCCTCTCGAATCGTGATCCGCAGCCTTTCTGCAGACTCTGCAGCGTCCTCCAGAGCACTTGCAATTGCAGGAGACACTGCAGCCGACACCTCAGGCTCCCTGCACAAGAGCGAGCGCATGCCATGGCGCAGAGCAGATGGGCCTACAGCGGCAAAGACTTCAAGAAGCTCGCACAGCGCCTCTGGCTGCAGCTGCTGCAGTCTGCCGTGCAGTAGAAACACCAAATTGCTCCATACTTCTTCCACAGGGACATGGGGTCTCCACGACCCCCCTAGAGGGGCCCCTGAGACTTTCTCGTCCTCGTCTGCAGGCGCGTTCTTTCTGAGTGCCCGCTGCACTGTTGCAGCGAGGGCCGCTGTTGCGATGCTTCCTTGCGCCTGCGTGACAGCATCGCCTTGGAGTTCCTTGGCAGTCTGCAGCAGCTGAGCACCAGAAAGATCCGCTAGGAGGTGTGTGGAGAGGCTTCGGAAGCCGCTATGGGTAAGGCACGCGGAGGAGGGGCCCCTCTCGAAAGAAACGGCTGCATGTGGCAGCGGCAGCAGGCGGGCTTGCAAGCGCGCCCTATCGGAAGATTGCAAGAGGATGTCTGCGGACCAAGGGACAGTTCCCTTCCGGCCGCTCCCCGCTTGAACGCCTCCACCGTTTTTTTTGCGTGCTGCATTAAGAGTGAGTGAGTCTGAGGGTAGGATACTCGTAGAGGCCTGGGTCTCGCTGCCCTGCAGGTCTCCACATAAACTGCGAGGAGGCCCCCAAAAGAGGCAGGGGCCCCCCCCCACGTGGAACTGTTTCGCTTGGCTCCAAGCCAGAGGGCAATGCCGCAGGATCATGGCCTGAGAGCCTCTCCCAAGAGCTCGCCACAAAGGCATCTGGTTGCCGAACGGCTCGAGGACCTAGGGTACTCCTGCCTGATCGGGGGCCCCTGAGGCGCGACCCCCCTCCTTCTTTCCTAAAGGGGCCCCTAAAAAGTACTCTCTCTGAAAGATCACGCCTCTGTCTGAAAAAGCACGCCTCTTTCTTCGTCCATGGAGGAGCCGATTCGCCGCCGAGGGATCCCCGGGGCCCTCCCGCCCTCGAGGCCCCCCGGGAGAAAAGCAGAGAGTTATCCGCGAGTTGTGGGTGCAAATTATGAACCAACAAGTCACACTTTCTACCATGTCTCATATGTGAATCGGCTAGTCAGCTCTGCACTATCTGCCCCTCCTCCCTTCGGAAGATCCGCCTAGAGTTGCGCGAAAAAGATCCAGCCAAGGGCCCCTACCCCCTTCTCCCCCCTCGCTCGCTCCCGCGCAGTCTGCGTCCTGTGGCGTTTGCGCGGGGAAAACCCCCAACTCGCGAGTAGAGACGCTTTTTTCTTACAAGCTTTACTTTTAAACTCCTTCCCGTGTGGATGTGTCCTTCTGTCCGTCTTTCTGTCTACCCGAAGCTCCCTCCGCTCCAGGAGAGCAGGACCCCAGACTCGGGAGGAGGCCCTTAGGAGGCCCCCCTCCACCGGGGAGTACCTCCTAAGGGCCTCAGGCGGTAAAGGGATTCTCCTGACGGAGCTTGTAGCCTCTCTGAGCCAATTCACGGGCAGTAAAGTGGACGGTGCCTGCACCCGGGAGGGCCCCCCGTCTCCCGCCGCGCAAAACCCCGCCACTTCTTCCCGCCCCCGCTGTCTCCTTGAAAATCCAGGGATGCCGCAGCGTCCTCTGTAGGGAAGCTCTCGACAAGCAGAGACCAGCAGCCGCCGCAGCTGCACCCGCCGTGCCGCTTGCGAGGCTAATGACGACGGCTTCTGGGAGGGTCGCCATGGAGGGGCCCGTGCAGCAGCGGCTGCTGCTCGCTCCAACAGTCCGCAGAAGACCCCTTCTGGTGCTTGTGCTGCTCCTGGGGGCCCCCGTAGGCTGCCTGTGTAGCCTGGCCTTTGCACCTCCGCAGAATTCCTTCCCGGGGGGGGGGAGCCCTCCTCCGGCCCCCTCAGCCCTTGTAAATGGCCTTCTCTGCCCCTCTCTGCCACACGGCATCCCCACCGCAGCGGCAGCCCTCCACTCCGCGGAGCGTGCCTCTGCCTCGGAGGCCCCTTCCTCCCCAGAGGCTCAGTTGCTTCTCAGCGGCGCTGCTGAGCCTCCCGAAGCTCCCGAGGCAAGCGCAGAAGCGGCAGCAACAACAGCAGCCAGCAAGTCGCGGTATAGCATTGGAAAGCGCAGGGCTGCAGACAAGCGACTCAACTGGCATCGCCAGTACATATACGGGCCCGTGGATCCTACAGCTGCCTTCCGCCGACAGCCGAAAGCAGCAGCAGATGCAGCTGCCGCAGCCTCCATGCCTCCCGAAGCGCTGTTACGGCTGCAGCCGCAAAGGAGGCCTCCTGGCCTCCGGTGGAAGCTCTTAGAGGAGCTCGAAGCGGGAGAGGCGGTGCTGGAAGCAGCCGATTCGGCAGCAAAGAAAGCCCTCGAAGAGGCCTTGGAGGCACAGGGGCCCCGGGCAGCATCTTCCGGGGGGCCCCACCGCAAGGCAGGGGCCCCCCGGCGCTCGACAGCGCCCCCCTTGGGGTCTCTTCAAATGCACATGCGCAGAGCGGCACTGCGTGCCGCTGCCGAGACGGTAGAACAGGCCCTCAAGCGTCTCCAGCGCGGCAACGAAGGGGAGAGGGGCCCTGGGGAAAGCTCCTCACATGATCTAGGAGGTAGCTCCTCACATGATCTAGGAGAAAGCTCCTCACATGATCTAGGAGGAAGCTCCTCACATGATCTAGGAGGAAGCTCCTCACATGATCTAGGGGCAGGTGCTAGTGCGTCTTCCTTGGAGCCAGACACGGCGCAAAGCCGGAAGCTTTACCCCAGAGCTATTTTCGCAGCGGAGCTTCGAAGGCTTCTTCAAAACTGGGCAGCCCTGGCTGCAGAGGGTGTTCTGCGTCTCGCTGTAGAGGGGGGGGCCCCCGCGAAAGGTCCCCAGGGCGTCCCCACAAACGCTTCTTCCTCAGGAGGCGAAGTTTCTTGCAGCGTGCAGCCTCAAGACCCCACGACTCCAGGGGCCCCTGCAGAGTCTGCAGATGATGGTGGACTGGAAGCTTCACGGGCAGCTCCCGGCCGAAAGGGGCTCTCTCTGCTGGCTGCGCTGCTTCCCAGGGAGGGCGTCGTTCTGCGCCCGAGCTGCGCGTTGCTTACCTGCCAATTGTTGAGCACGGCGGGCTTTGACGAGACCATCGAGGTGCACGTACACTTGAAGAGGACAAGGTCTAAAGATGGGGGGGGGAAGCCCGCCAGCAGAGGCCCCTCCCAGCGCGTCCAGGGGTTCGTCACTTTGCCGCATGGTGTTATGCCTTCCCTCCAGAGCGGCACCAGCAAGGCAGTGGGATTTCTCCGAGGCGCTGCAGCTGCCGGGGGGGATGAAGAGAATACTCGTGAGGTGGGAGTCGGAAGGGCTCGCGCAGTACGCGGGAAGAAGCGGGGAGGCATATGGCGGAGGCCCCGTGTAATTGCAGCTCTGGTGGACTCTTCAGATGAGGCGGCCGCTAGGGAAGCCGGTAAGGATCGAGAGCGAAAAGAGAGAGAGAGAGAGACAGAAAACGGGGCCGACAACCAGGGGCTTCTTGCTTCGTGCTCGGATATTTTCGCTGATCGATTGAATCGTTGCTCTATTGAGGGGCAGGGCTGCGTGTGGCTTGAACCCGCTGAGAGAGCAGTGTGAATTCTTCTCCCCCTGTGTTTTCACGGGATAACGCGTCCCTTAAGGATCGCGCTCGGGCGGTGCTCTAGTGCTGGATATTGGCGGGGTTAATGCGGAGGGGAGGGAGAACATGTTCTGAGGCCGCAGAGGTCTTTCTGTTAAAGCGCCTGAGAATCCTAAGGCCCACGGCTAAGTGCGCCTTGTGGATGCAGCAGCTGCAATTTTGCGTGTGACGGTGTCTTGTAGGGGCGGATATTGTGGGTGTAGAGGCTCTCGTAGAATCGCTTTCGGACAGCAAGAAAAGGGGCCCCGACACCATCATCTGCACGCCGGAAATGATGGCCGTCCTTAGTGCTCACGGAAAGACTCTTGGTAACGACTCGCAGTCTTAGCTGCGCCCTAGCATCCCTCCTTCCCTCCCTACTACCCTACACACTGTCCCTGCTGTCTTGCCTTCGAAGGATTTTAGTGTCTCCTGGATCTCGGATGAGGGGTAGCCTGCCTGCCTGCCCGCCCCTCATGAGCAGTTGTGGCTGCCTGGCATACTGGAATCGTCCTATAGGGGCGCTCTGTGTTTGAGTACTGCTGGGCAGAATATCAGTTGATGCGGCCTTCAACTCTGCAGCTCAGGGGTTTAAGGTGTTGTGCTGCAGGACGCCGCAATCTTATTCCCTCTGTGGCAATGGGGACTCTAACACCCGACCCCGTCCACGCAATCCGCATATATAGGCAGCCGACTATACAGTTTAGGGCAGACAGGCTAGGCGTGGTGCATGCGCCCATAGGCTACGCCTCAATGGAGGCTCCCCATTTACTGGCCAACTTTCACGCCTTCTTAGAGGCCCTCAAGGCTGCAGCGCTATCCGCTCAGGGCCCCAAACAAGCAGTGGGAGCTTCCCTGCTTAAGATTGCGAAGTGCATGCACGTTTGCAGCACCATGGGACCCTCTCTGCAAATAGACCTGAGGGCTTGTTGACTGTCCCTCCTGTAGCCCCTTCAGAGCCTCGCTGGTCGTCTCACACAAAAGCCCACCGCCGCGTTTCCCTCCAGCTACCTGCTGGCTGCAAACAGCTGTACCGCTGAGGCCATTGGTGCTCGAAGCCGTGCACCTCGGATTCGTCCCCCGAGGAGCCTTGGGAACCCCTCGGAGGCCGAACTGAAAAGCTGACGGTCTTTCAGGGAAGTCGAGACCCTTCAAGACTAAACAGCATAATGTGGGGATCAGGGTTAACCGCCAGAGTGCACTGACTGAGGGCCTAGAAGCCTTGCCAGCCGCTCCCGTAGTCAAGAGCAGAGAGAGTTCGGCTGCATTTTCTCTTTGGGGTCTCCTCACCCACCGCTGGCTCACTGTAGCGACTGCCCTTTTTCGGGGCCACATGCGCGGGTGCTAAGAACTGAGGGGTGCCCCTATATTTGAGGCACTTCATTGCCATGTAAACGTTGTCTGCCTTACGTGATTACCCGTCCCGTGAGTTACTGCTAAACGGCCGCGCCTCTTCGTAAGCACGTACGTTGTAGGCTCCCACCTCCAGCGATGCTCCCGCTAGGGGATTACTGTGTCGCAGCGGGTTCGTTCATGGCTCAATCTCTGTAGCCTTTCCGCAGTCTACCTGTCTACCTTTTCCACACTCCGACCCGTATGGCCATGAGTTGACGACAACTACCGCTTTGTACCGCAACAAGTATCTTAGGAAATTCACCCACGTTTACGAATAGGGCTGAAGGTGTAATATTAATCTTGTGTTGCCATGAGCATACCGCCCCCAGAAAACAGTGGAAGGGCAAGACTACTCCCTCAGGCTGCATGCAGTGGCACCTACGTCGGTATGTATTTGTTCTGCAGTTCTAGGGGTTAGCTGGGTTCGCTGTACATAGCAGCCGCAGTCTTTCAGGAGGGCAAACGTTGCAGGTCCTTAGATACTTTCCTTCAGATACAAATAGACTTTCAGTGCTTAATTTGCTGGGTAAGAAGCAGCTCTGTGGTGATGTCTGGGTACTGCTCAAAAAATGCATTTGTGTGGGTGCAGCCAATGCAATTTTTGCAGGCTACATAGCTGCGCACTATCCAAGCTGTACAGAGCTACGCGACTCGCAGATAGCCACCTTCACCGAGCGAGACGAACTTTAATTATGATGGCAAGTGCTGTTTAAATAACATGGCTGCAGGCGTACTTTGGAGGTACAGAGCATGTGTATTTTCGTGCAGAGCAGAGAAAAAATCGGTAAGAAAAGCAAGAAGAATATCGGAGCCTACTACATGAATGTCTACAGAGTTTTTACTGTTCATACACGTACCCGCTGCCACTCTTCACTTCACAAATAGGGCAAGGGAGCAGAACGGCTCTTTTGCGTAAAGGAGAGGTGCACTTTCCTAAAACGAATGCATATTTTGGCTGAGTGCCTCCTTAGGGAGGCTCAAGGGGAAATGTACCCTACTGCGTTTCCCCTGAAGGAGTGCAAATCTCGTCAGCTATCACGTGGCATAGTGCAGCGCCTCCGCGCATATGCCGTAATCCAATTTCGTCACTTGAAGGGCCTTCAAATTGAACTGTACCATAGTGTTTAGAGCGTCGGACCACCGTTGAGCTGCCACTTTTCTCGCCTCTTGTGTGTAGCGGCCTAGCTGTACCCCCCCGTCTGTTCGGCGGCAGCCGAGCGACGCCAGGACCGTCAGGCTCTGAATCCATATATGGGCCTTAATAATACGACTCGTAAAAATATGCAAATTGGCTGAGTTATAGGAGGCGATAGAGGGATGCGGCGCAATTTAAGGTCTTACTTTCCCGCAGGGATGTATGGGTGACTGGATCGTGCATGCATTGAGGCCAGAAACCAGCGCATTCCCAATTATCTCTCCCTGCCTGTGTGCTGGCGGAGTTTTGCATAATGTTTGGGGTCTAACACAAGAAGATAAGAACGAGCACTCCGGTCTTGGTCGAAGAATACGACAGAAGCGCGCACCTGTTTTCTGCGGCCACCTGACAGACCACTACAGCAACCGCCAGCATATGTCTGCAGCAGAAGCACTGGCAGCTGCTGTCGCAGCTAGTTGAGTTCAGTGCGGTTTAGAGCTCCTCTGCGGCTTTTGAATCCCAGCTATCCCTGTTTTAACTCTTTAATGGTTGTATTTCGGAAGGGGAGAGTGCCTCCCAGTCGCAGTGTCTTCGGAACTCCCTTGAGAGCCTAGAGTGAATCGCGCAACGACATTGCGAGAGGCCCACTCTCCCTGTCTTTTACTAGTGCATCGACATATTCTGCGCATTTGAGCTCCTCTAACGCCTCATCTCTTGCATTTTATCCATTCATCGCTTGGTATTGCCTCTCGAGATTTATATCCCCGAGGCCTTTCAGCGCAGTCCTCTCTCTCTCTCCAGCTCTGCCGCGGCACGCGCTCCCCCGCCTCGATCAGGTGACCCTAGCCTGAGACTGCGTTAGGCTCGTGCACGTGTCTGCCTCCCCAGCTTTTTTGAGCTTTAAAAGCTCTTTGCGGCTTCCCTAGCTATGGACGGGGGCATCCCTGCGAGGCCTCCCGGCCTTCCGAAGCATGGCCCTTACCCGGGATACATCAGGGAAACATGCACGCGCAGCCCCTTTCCCTTCTCAGCCCTCCGGCTGCCCCTTGAGCCTAACACTGACTCGCTGACTGCGCAAATGCAGCGCCTAGAACTTGCCCGCGCCATACGGCAGCAGGAGGCCCTTGACTTCGCGCCGGAGTTCCTGGGGGCAAGAGAGCCGCGAGACACCACACACAGAAGACAAGGAGAAGCGCCTCCAGAGCCCTTAGGGGCCCCCCTTCGGCCCTTTCCATGCAGCGCCGGCAGAGATCGTGGTGCCTCGAGACTGGAGGGGGCGGGTCCGTGCATTGCTGGCCGCCGTCTGCCACCCCTCATCTTGGGAGGGGGGCTTCAAGAGGTACCCGCGTGTTTGTCGCCCAGTGATGACGGGTTATCGCCTTCTCCCCGCACGCCCAGGGAAGGTTACACGATGCCCCGCATGGAAGCCTCCATCTTTGTTATGCGGAAAGAGCAAGAGCCACTGCCGAGGTACGTACGTACGAAGCAGGGGGAGGCCTTCGAGGCCTTCGCAGCACGCGAGCTAAAGGCTTCACGACCTCGCTTAACAAGTGCAGCGGAGACTAGGGTAGAGGAGGGAAGGAGGGGGGCCCTACGTCTCCAGTTGGAGCTGCGGGGCAGTCCACCCCGTCGTAGGATGAGGGTCTGTCTCTCTCCCTCCTTAGAGCTTCTGAGCACTCGGGGAGATCGCCCCGAGGGAACTCACCCAGGGGTCAAGGAAGCCTTCTTCTGCAGTAGCATCGTACGAACGCGTGCCTCTCGACATGTGCGTTTGTCCTGTCCCTCGGTGAGGGTTTGTGTTTTTGTGCTGCTGCGATGCTGCATGTCAGTGTCAGTGGGGAGGCCAGTGGAAGGCTCGGTAGTTTGGCGAATCGCTTGCGGGGCCGCATGAGAGCGGGAAAGGCTATTTTTTCTTACCCCACGCAGCGCCTCACCAGCCGGACGTTGGAGGGCCTCGCACTGGCCTCGCGTCCTTCAGAGCTCCAGCCAGTGAAGCGCGCTAAACGCAGGTTCAGCACCACAGGGTCAGACGGCGATACTGAAGTAATGGACGCCGAGAATCCAAGTGCCCGGCACTCTCTCTCACTCCCATGTGAAGTGAGACCCCCCACTTTCAAGAAAAGCAGAAGAAGCCCTCGTTAGTCTCTTGGGCTTATGCAGAGCTGGCAGAGTCTCCCACGCAGCGCGTGGACAGGTGCATCCTGGTACACACACGTGTGCCTCCCCATTTATATATGCCACGGTTGGCGAATATAGCCCTTTCCCGAGCACATGGCGCTCACTGTACAGGCTGCATGCGGGGCTCATATATCTACAAAGTTGTGCGCATATTGGCATTAGAGGTATCTGGACGATTATAAATATGTATGTACACGTATCTGGGCATCCATACTTCTATACATATGCCCCTATGCTTTTAATAGATGTTTGTGCATTTCCGCCCTACCGCGAATGGCGTAGGTCTACATAGACTGGCACACTCGAATCAGCTCATCGCTGTCTTTTGAGCAAGGGCTAAGGTTAGATTCATATTTCGCATTCTCTATCTATGTATACATATATGAATATATATACAGGCATGCCCTTCACATGTGGCGGTACGTGCATGCCAGTAACGCTGCACGAAATACGCATATGCGGATCGAGTTCTCGGAAAATACTGCAGGCCCTTCCTGCATACGGTCTTATGCCGCCAATTCAGCTTTTGTGTGTCGTGGCCGTGCTCTGAATCGAAGTCGAAAGACGTGGTTCGGAGAGACTAGACCTCACTGGCATATGGTTAAAGACCAATAGCTTGGAATGGGAGGCAGCACAAAGGGGGGAACACGACCACGTATCACAGAGAGCTGCTGCTCGAAACCGTGAGGCATGATATTGAGTCTCTAGGCGATTCTCAAGTAGCGACTGCCCTTGCCGGTTCACTTCCTGATGCATTTCGGCCGTGCACCGTTTCATGATTTTGTTTAAATACAATAAATTATTTTTTGCCAGCTTGTTTGCTCGGGGTGCGTGACGGCGTCGGATACAGAGCGCCTTTTACTCCAACCCCTTCCGTCAAGCCGCATAATAAGAATATCAAGACTTGCCACTGTTAGAGTTCGCATGGCGCTTCACGTGGAAATATCTGCGCTGAAGAAAGGAGGACTGAGCTTAGCCTTGGATAAAAAGGCACTTTGCCCCACCTTAACTCCCCACCGAGTTCGTACCAGGGATTTTCACGAATGAAACCATAGATGCACAAGCGGCTACACTAGCACACCGGCGAGCATGCTCTGGAGAACTGCAGGTTCATTCACGTAAGCAGCCCTGTAGTAGACCCTTAAAAATGGACATATGGAAGCGATGGCCTGGGTTCCCTTAGAAGGCAGGGGGACACAGAAAAGCTAGGAACACGGTTCCTGTAGTGACGGAAATCCCAGAAGGAAGGCTTTGATGGAAGAATAGAGCGCATCCTCTTGTCGCACACTGCGCTTTCTGAAGACCGCAGCACTTTCACAACGAAAACTGTCCATATTTACCACGCAGTTCCGCCCACCCTCCTCCGTGCTCTTTCATCGCTCTTTTCGAGAGCGCCTGCATTTGTTATATGGAGTTAGTTGAACGCACTAGAAGCACAGATTGTGGATGACTTTGCAGAACAACTTCCATGAGAGCAAGGCTTTTCCTTGGGCAGCCCCTCAGTCAAGGGCTTCCCTTCCCCCGTCTTTCCGTTTCAAAATTTGAAAGGGCAGGCTCTCTTCGCTCTGCTCAGGAGAGAGAGTTCCCCGACACATGTAAGGTGGCAACGCAGGAAGTGTCACCCTGCCCCCTTTAGCCTCTTTGAAATTCAGCCATCGTCCCGAAAAAAATACGAAATGCAGCGCAGCCCATGAATCTGTATGTCAACATCAGAGTTCTTTTATATTGGTGTCGGCGGAGGCGGCCTTGTTGCCCATTTTATCGCACTAGGCAATTCTGTCGCGCCTCAATGTACAGCCACAGTTTAGCTGGAACCCGTCCATCAAACCTGTTTATACTAGCGAAAGAAGGTAGAAGTTTTCTTCAGAGTCCTCTTATAGGGCTCTACTCGGGAAAATAATAAGCGACTTTGAGCATTTCACTGCGCGCAACAAAATCCCGTTACATCTTTAGTCCTGCATACTGAAGGTGCCTCTACAACTATCCAGCTTCTCTGAGACTCTTGAATGCTGTTATATGTTCGACACTGCATCGTGAAGGCGGTTTTTATACCTAGCTTCTAAAAGGCTACTATGTGGCGGCTCATGCCAGCTCCATAGCCTCTTGTTCGGCAGTGCTTGTATGTAGGGCGAGGCGTCCTCGAGGCGGTTCTAACTGCAGAGGCCTTCTAAAGGGCCGAATTTCGAGAAGACACTTCGGGGTGCTCACAGCCCAATGTTGGGGAGTGCATGAGCGTATTTTTCACCCAACATCAGATTCCAGATTGAATCTTATCCTGGCTCACAATGGGGACGGCATCCCCTGGAAAAAACGAGTCGGCATGCATTCGTTGCTCCTTGTTCGTGTGGGTTGCTGCGCACCAGAAGGAGCATGCATCGGCGCGCACACAGCGCTCTCTAACCTTTACCCCTCTCCTGCCTGTAGCTGCTTCTTCTGCTGCTCGAGGAGCCGCTTGACCGTCGGGTGCATCTCGGCTGGAGGGACGGTGCTGGCGGCCTCAAGAACCGCCTCAAGGCCTTCGCTGCGCGGCGCAGTCAGAATCACACCGGCGTGTTTATAGCTAAAGAGACGCCACAGCGTTCGAGGGCTTCTTAGCCAGCACATGCTAATCGAGTACCCAGGAATGAGGGATTGCGAGACATGCAGCAACTCGCGAGAAAGCTCTGGACCCCACCCCACCCCCGCCGCGAGTCTATGGCTGCTAATTGTTCGTGAAGCCCACGCTTGCCGAGTGCATGCAGAGCCTTTGTGCATGTTGTCTCTCGGCTCATAAAGCTCGCCACTTGTAGAGGTGCAAGACTAGACCAACAACAGAGCACCTGCCGCGCTGCGAGGGGAAGGGAAGAAAAGAGGGAAGGGGCCCTTGAATTTTGTGCCTGTAAGAACGCAGGATACGCACCTCTGCATCAGGCGCGTCAGCTGGGTAGTAATCCAAGCAGGGGGAAACGGCAAATCCACAAGGCCGCACAAGGCGGAGAGTTGCTGAGAAGCGACGCATGCGACTCGCAAGGCTTCCACCACGAACCCTAGGCGGGTGTACAGCCGCAGCAATCCCCTGAGGGCCTGCGAAAGAGTAGCAGTTGCAGAAAAGGCGCAAAAGCCAGCAGACTTGCGGGAGGGCAAGTGGCGTCAAGCGTCAGCTAGCCACTTGGCCCCAGCAGAGCTCATGGCGAAGCGGCAGAAGCTGCTGCAGAAGACTCGTTTCGAAGGCAGCGGCTTTTTGCACCGTGGATACATAGGCCACACGGACTAGGGAGAAGCATATGAAACAAATGTCTTCTCGTTCAATATTTAGGCACAAGCACCACAGTCCACGAACGAATAAGCCAATCACGTGCTTGGACCTAAACCACTCGAAGATACAGCCGCAACCAACGACTAAGCTGCATCAGATTCTGTAGGCTCAAAGGAACGGTCAGGGAACCCTCGCAAATGAGCATCCTTGGCCTCCATCATGGAGAATCGCAGCCTCCTAAAGTTTTGAAAGCGTGACTGGCACCATCGAAAGCAGCGTTAGAGGGGGGTCCAACCGCGCCATGCAGGAAACATGTGGCGTATTTGAGATTCTCTTTACGCGAAAACGTTCGTGTAAGGATGCATGCGCGCATTCATATATACGTGTGCGGTAACACATATGAATACGTAGAGACCTCACTTTGAGGAGATACACAAACTTTGCCCCTGCGCGTATGGACAATTCTTCATATGTAGACCACACATCACATGCACATTGATGCAGGCATGCATGTATGCGTGTAGATGTATATATATAAATATGTATGCAGATATAGAAATAGAGAGATACACCCATACGTCGCTGGCGAGGAAGCGATTCCAGGAGGCAGCGCGCCTTCAAATGCTGCGCAAAAGGCAGCAAAAGCGTGCGGCTGGACCTACAAAGGGAGACAGGCCCTGCGTGATAGCAACTCGATACGCTACTTCCATCTCCACCCACTCCTGCAGCCTCTCGCACAGGGCCCCCCTGAAGCGCAGCAGCAGCAGGCGCATTGTCAGTTCCATGAGGCGGCAGAAGCAGCGTCAAGAGATTGGCACTTCTTGAGGAAATGCCTATCCGCGGCGTCCAAGAAAGGAGGCATCTCTTGTTCCTGATAGTCGAGCCTGCGTATACACAAAACGGCGCAACGTTTGAGTGTCTCCTTGCCTGTAAAGCCAGTAGGCTCCTAGTTCTTCAGGGATTTCGGAGCACTGAGCGTCTGCCGAAGCATCTGAAGCCTCCGTCTGCGAGGGCATGCAGAGGCTCTGCCACGGCAAGGCTGCCCTTGTCAGCCTTAAGAGAGACACATCGCCCTCGAGGTCCTGCGGCATGGCAGCAGTGCACAGCAGCGCACAGCACGTCTTGTCTCGCAGTCGTGGGGAGACGCGCAAATCGTGATTCTCTCTCCTACTTTCAGCTAGGCACAACCAACAGCGCACTGGAAGGCGACTGTGAAAGGCGCAGGATACACCTAGCCTCCTAGCCCCCGACGATATATATATATAATGGACTGCTGTGTCTAAACGGGAAAAGGACCATTGGCGCTTGGCATGCGGACGAAAGCAGCAGCCTCTGGGGGGAGGGGGGCTTCGTTGCACTGTACCTCGAGCAGAGCACCTAGAGAGGGCGTCAGAGGACGGAGCACGCCGCCGTCCGCAGCCACGGGCATAGAGGATGCCTCTGCGCTCAGCAGCGTCCTACATGCGGCTAAGAGCTCTTGCTCAGAAGCGACCCCTCTGGCAGCGGTAGCACAGCCTGGGAGAGGCGAGGCGGTGCATGGCTGCAGCGTTATCTGATCACCACCGTGGGCATTCCCTTGACCTCCTCCTCGCTCGCAGGCCTCCCCAGATGCGCTGATCTCCTGAGCTCCCTCCACAGGCCCTTCAGTGGCAGGAGTCGCAGCAGATTCTCCAGCATTCGCGGCAGGCGAGGCCCCTCTGCAAGGCGAGCCGTCTGCAAGGTTCGTCGGGGGTAGCGAACGGCCAACGGCGCCGTGTGCCTCGCTGAGTGAAAGGGCAGCGGCGCTGCTGCATGCCCCCTCAGAGGGAGGCTCTCCCGCAGAGCCTCCCGTGCAGACATTCGCAGCCAGGAGCTCGCCCTTCGTCGGAGGCGAGGACGAGTCGTCGCTGCAGCTGCAGGCGGAGGAGAGCGCTGCGTCAGCGTGGATCTCTGCGACCCTATGGGCGGGAGCCTCCGACGCCTCGTCCGCCTCGATGAAGGCTGGACTGGCGAGCCTCTCCTGCCTCCCTGCGGGTGAGACGCAGCCGTCCAGCGAGGAAACGCCGATAGCTCCCGTTGTTGCTTCCTGTGTCGTGGCTGTGGAAATCTCCGCTGGAAGCGTCCCCAGCCAGCCCGCGAAGGAAGGGCCCCGGGAGAGTGCATGCAAGGCTGTCGCCTCGGGATCTTCTGAGGGGGGCAAGAAGAGAGCATCTCGCAGGGTGTTGAGGCCTTTCAGCCCAATGCGCTTGTGCAGAGAGGCGAGCACTGCATAGCGGCGCCTCTCGGATAGGTCCAGCGTCAGACCTCTACAGGCAGCCAGAGCTCTGAGATGCTCGGCAGTACTGCTGCTCTTGCTGCCCCGCCCGCTCAGTGCCTCCAAGCCGGCTTGAGCTGGCCGCTTGGAAGGCGTCTGTTCCTTCCTAATGCGGCTCGCCAGCGTTCGCACCACTGTCTCTTCGTCGAGGTCCTGCGCAAGGCCAAAATACACCCCAAAGCCCTGGTGTCGGGATGGCGAAGACGCCCTTCGGTGCTGCTGCTGCCCCATAGAGCCTCTGGCTGTCGAGGGGCTTCTTGAAGGGTCTGCTGCAGGAGAGGGACGGCGCTGGATGCTGCGGAGGCTAGGAGCGCTCCGTCCTTGAGCCTGACCACCACCACTCAGGGAGAGAGGGGAAGCGGCAGCGGCTGGGGAGCGCGCAGACGAGGCAGCCTTCTCCCCGTCCCCCGAGGAGCTGCTTCTCCTCCGACTGGTTCCCTGCCTAGGCGACCGCAGCAGTGTGGCGGCAGTCGCTGCGCCTGCCTTCAAGCCGTTACAACTGTCTCCTTGCGGCTGCTGCTTGCGGCCCTTGCAGCCGAAACGCACCAGGGAGGGCCTCACGGGTGCAAGCCACAGCGCCGAGTGGTAGCCCACCCCGCACTGGCGAGGCTCCGTAACTGGAAACGTCGCAACGTCTGCAGGCAGCCCGTGCGGATACCACGGGAAGGGGACCGAGACATCGGGAGCCGCATTGAGGGTCAACAGGGCTGCCCCCCAGCGTCCACAGCCGATTTCTGTGCGTGCTAGCGTCATCCAGTACCGATGCACCGTCGGACAGAGCTCTACTGCGTAAGTCGCCGCGCGCAAGGCCACCTGCGGAGGGAAGCCGCCGCGCAGCAAAAGCTCCGCCAGCTGCCGGAGCACGCAAGCCTCCTCGGGATACGTGTGGAGGCAACGCAGCAGCGCGGAGAGGGCTGCCTCCAACTGCCCTCGCCTGGCATAGGCTCGAGAAATGTGAAGAGCCATCAGCGGGCAGCTCCCCTGGAAGGAGGCTAGGGTTTCAACACAAGGCCGCAGCGCCAAGGCTTGCAGCACGTGGCTCGCTAACACCTCGTTTAGAGCGTTGGTGCCCCTCCCCACACCAGGCAACAGCCCCAGGAGGTCGCCCTCTGCTGCATGCTTCTCGAAAAGCTCCAAAAAGACGCGGGAGGCCTCAGAGCTGCCGGGGCCCCACGGGTCTCCCAGGGGCCCCCGCATCACGCGCAGGCAAGGGACGTCAGGGGGCAACTCCGAGCGCATCAACGCGCACAGTGCCGCACACCCCCAAGCGGCAGAGGAGACATCGGAGGCTCTCTGCTCCTGGCCAGAGGCCTCCAAAAGGTGCACTTCTACCCGTTGGGGGGTCGCGCCTTGGCAAAACAGCTCGACGCGAAGATCCTGCTGGTGAAACGCATTGTACGTACAGTACACACACCGGACAGTGCGCCATCCCCGCCGGAACCACCTGTATGAGCAGCGGAGACAGAGCGTGCAAAAACCTTCATGCTCCCCCCGCAATAAGACGAACAACAAAAATCCCCTGCACTTCAGAACAAGAGCCTTACCCTCCTCCTCGCTAGGCCTTACAGGCAGCCCCACCGAAGTGCAAAAAAACCCTCCGCGAAGCAGCACTCGCCATATACACGCACAAGGATTCAAAATGCGCCTTCCGAAGGGGAGGGCAGCAGGAGGCAGCCGGAAATCTAGCCTCCCCTCAGGTGGCGCTCTCGAGCGGCAGCCTGCTACTGACCCCGTTGGCTGCTCTTGAGCTCGCAGCACGTTACAGAGATAGGCCGCAACGGGCGCTGGCTGGGAAACGTCGACCCCCACCACGAAGCTGCAGAGACACCAGCACGCAATCTCACAGTCCAGCGAAAAGGTACATCGCACTCAAGGAGTCTGGAGGGGCTCTCTGTACACATGAGGAGGCCGTGAGGGGCTGAAGCCACCCACAAAACGGCTGAGAAAAGAAGCCTCGGCTAGAGACCTGTGAGCACGCCACGCCCGCTAACTTAGAGGTGCCCCCTAAAAGAGGGCATAGATGCACTTCAAGAAAGCCACAGGCGCTCCAAGCATGGCCTGAAACAACCATCTAGAAAGGCAACTTTCAGCTCACTGGCAGAAGGAGACTTCAGCTCCGTCCTGCAGATCGTCTGCCCCAACTAGTATTCGGAGAAACTTCCTGTCCTGAGGTACCTTGAAAATACAGCAGAGGTCTGGGGGCCCTAAGCCTTCGAACTCGCCTGAAGCAACAAGGCGCGAAGCGTGCAATAGCGTGCGCATGTAAGAGTGGTGCGAATGCAAACAGGCTGCAGCCTTCTCCTTAAGAAAAGCAAAGACGCGGCGGGCTCTCTCTAAGAGACCATGAAGCAAAGCCCCAGGAGGAGGTGACTACTGCGCTACAAGAAACCCCCTTCTTCCCTCTCTTTCTCCCTCCCCCCCTTCCCCCCCCCCCAAAAAAACAAAATTCGAAGGGGTGCGAGAGACCTCTCAGAAGGGCAGCACTTCGCTCGCCGAGGATAGCCCCTTTTGTGTCGACAATCTCCTTGCAGTCCGGAGTGGAGGGCCACATGGCCTTGAGTTGGCATGTGGAGTATCAAGGAGAGCAACCCGCTGCCCCTCCTGTTTTCCAGCGCAGGCGCAGGAGGAGGCTCAGCGTGACACGCCTTAGCAAACACACGCACTTCAGATGCTCCGCCGACCTTCTGCTGAGCGTAAAAGCGTTCGATGTACGGCGACTTGACTTAGGAATCCTCGGGCGTCGAATGCCCTGGGGAAGCTCCAGTACTTTTGCGCAGTGGCGGTCCGAACACAGGGGCCCCCGGCAGCAACTCACATCCTACCGCAGATTATGAGGCCCCCTAGGGAACTCCAATTGGAAACGAACTGAAAGCGCAGAAAAAGCTCTTCGCTCAGCCTTCTAGTAACCCCCTTTCCGAAGTCAGTTGTTCTGTTCGACCCGCCGGCTGTCTCCGCATGGACTACAAGGACTCTGCAGTGCCCAAGAGAAGGGCCTCAAATATGGCCAGCCCTACCGCCGATGAAGGCAGAGTCTTCGCTCAGTGACACACCCCTGCAGACAACGGGAGAAAAAATCTGAGGGCTCCCTCTCCTCCTATCCATGGGCTCGTGCTGGTGTACGTGGCTTGTGTGCGTGCTTCTGTATGGTACTGATGATGCGACGCATGAGCAAAACAATGAAGTAAATCACAGAAAAAGGCAAAGATGTCGATGTGCCTGCCCTTTCGGAACTCGCTGCACATTGCCATGCTGCGGTCGTGCCTGCTCGCTCCGTCGGCTGCACTAGGGGGCCCCACGGAGAGGGCCTCCGTAGGTCTGCGTTCCTGGGCTCAGCTTTCGTTTAGTGTAGTTAACTTATGTATGAAACGGGTGCTAGTGTGCATAAGGCCTCAAAAGACGAGTAAACTCCCGATTTGAGTCAGTTCAACGACCACAGATCTTTTGGTAGGGCGCTGCCGCACACTATTGCTAAGATAACACGAGCACGTCGCTGTCTAGCCTAGCTCTAAGGGCTCTCGGCCTCTCTTCTGCAAATGTGACACCCCTGAAAACAAGTGGCTCGAGGAGATGTGCACGATATTGTAGACGCAATTTTTCTTTCTTGGTGCATTTCTCAATAGTTGCCTGAAACTTGGCGGTTTCCGGATGTGGCCTATTATCTTAGCTCGTATGATGACTGGGGGGAGCTAGAGTGAGGTGAAATTCTGATCCTTGCATAACGTGTTACACAATACCACGAAATGCCCACGGTGAGGCAGGGTACACGGGGCTAAGCTATACATGAACACTTTCTACTGGATTAGTTGTTATAGACAATGAATTAATGAAGAATTAGCTGATTGATTTGTACGTCCTCTATCCAGCGTACTACCAGCTCGATGTAAGAGAAGGCAGTGTTGTGTGTGTTGGCGCTAGGTGCTCCGTGCACCTTGCTAAGAGTGCTCGGAGTATTAAAAAACTGCAGCACTGCACACACTAGCTGTCCCTCTCCCTCATGTTGACTGTAAAGGGCATGTGGAAGATGATGCAAAAACTCCTTTGGGAAGCACTTGATAGTTTTCTTTGTAGTTTGTATGAAGTGAGGACTACAGTGTGTGTCACCCTGAGAAGACCATGTACAATGCATTATACAGGTCCTGCGAAGGAGTTCAATAAACATGGACTAGCACTGAAGGTACCACACCGTGCCTATTTTCTGCGTCCACTTGGCTAGGGAATAGTTTAAGGCAGATTGTTTGGCGCGTGTGTTGCCGAGCTGAAAAATATCATGTTTTGTAGGGGTGCCAATACGCTGCTTTAGCCAATGAACAATACATGAGACGATCTTCCAAGAGCCATTCTAAAGGTTCGGCACCTGTGTGCAGTGCTTCACAAAGGTGTCCAAATGGAAACTCAGCCAACAACAGAAAATCACAGCGGGAGCTTTGTTGCGCTGCACGCCGAGTCTTATCTTGTCATTTCCCGCCATACACAGCGTTGGGCAGACAGCGGTAACATTGCGGCAACTGGACATCTATTATGCTGCACAGCTCTTCGGTGGCAGCCTGAGGTGCACCGGCTCTGCTGATGCTGTTGCACGACAGTGTAAATCACACGGAGGTAGGTTCGTGCATACTTACAACAGCGCACTTAGCGTGCCGTTGCGTGCTGGTGGCCACCGTGAACGAGGTCCAGTTCCTGTAAAGCCTCACTGAGTGGCGTCGGCTAGCCACAGATTCGCCAAAACGGGGCCATATATGCTTCACCACTCCCTGTAGAACCCCTGAAGGGTTCTCACCTCACAGAAGCGCCATCATCCCGAACCCCTCTCAACACAATGACGGAATGATAATATCCTTTTTTTAGCTGTAGTCTGCTGCATTTTACCATCTCAAGATGGACTTCGAACACGTGTAGCAATAGCCATATCTGCATACGGCAATTCACCGACTTTAAAAGGCAGCTTCCTTAATAACACGCATCGTAAGTTGCAAGGATATTATAAAAAGACGGATTGCATATCTCATTCGTTTAGCAGGGCTTTTGCTCAGTGATGGTTATCGGCTTGCCTATAGACTTTGGAGAATCCATTGGCATTGGTGCTGCGGTTCCTTCAGCTAGTGGAGTAGCTCCTCCTGTCGCTCTCTTCTTTGCCATTCTCTGAAAGATTTCTGCGAGTACTACAAGGGGCTTAAAGCTTCCCGAGGCTATTTCCCGCTCGTCCTGTATGCAAGATACCTCGACACGGATAGTATTTTACATGCGTAAGTCTTAGTTGGTCATGCGTGGTATTTCATTCATAAAGACAGATCCGCGTCAATCAGAAAACGCGCGAGTATACACAGGGATATCTGTTCACACATTTCCTTCAACTTGTATTTTGATGCTTGTCTAGGCAAGTAAGTGTATACATGCCTGTAATTTACCTTAACCATTGCGCCACAGCTTCAGATAGCATATCACAGCTGCACTGTCGCCCGTGGCAGCATGTTTGCACGTACATATAGCTTTATGCAGCAATCTACATAAATGCCTCGCCATAAACCCTTCTACTTGTGCATCTTTACGAGAATAGTATTTTTCTGTTTACGCTGTCAGTCCTACCTGGATGCTTCTGGAGAGCGTCTGAGATGCTCTGTTCCGCAAAGTTGGGTGAATCTGCTCTGGATCTTCCGGCGAGAAGCCATTTCCCTCTAGAGCATTCGTGCGGGCCCTGTGGAGATCCCTCAATGACTGCTGCAGTGAGCCTTCCTCATAAGCTATAATCAATAGCTAAGCACAGAGAAACAGCAGAATAACGCCTCCACACGCACTTATGTATATATCCATCAATACCTACGTACATATCTACCGATGCATTATTGAGAGGGATAGCCACCTGTATGGCCATCTAATTGTTCTTACCCTAGTTTATGAAGACTTTTTCTACAGTTATGCTATGCCTAGAGGTGAGCATGTAGGTAGTAGCTTTTATTCATGCCCCAACCAAGCTGCTCCGCTGTAAAGGCGGTCTGTACCAGCGACGCGCTTTTTGCTTCAGCAACAGCTGAATAACTAGCAATTTACGTGCCATCATTTCATACTTTTGTGATAAATGAACCATACAGTGGTTACCCTAGCTCTAGAGCGCCACGTTTGGGTAAAGCTTCATGCACAAAACCAACCCCCTCCCATAACTCAGCACGTGCACTCTTTTTGCCATTATTACCTCGAGTAGAGCCTGAGGACAAGTCAGTCAGCAGGAAATCTGACAATTTAGTACTCAATGAATGCTCGGCCTCCCTACTGTATCATCCTATCAATAGATGGAAGGGTGCATGTGCCTATTCTGCCCCGAGTATGGTGTGGTTGATCCTGCCTGGTGCAGTGTGGGAAGGAGCGAGGCCTTCACGTATTCGATGGCCGGTGACTCTGTAGGAGGTGACTCTCTACTGCACAGTTCATTAGGGAGATCTGAAAATGTAGCCCCATTTTCCATCTCTTGGAAAAAAGGAATGCCCCATGCTGTGGTGCCATATGTGTATGCTGTCTTCTCGTCTTCTTTCACATCCTTCTTTTTCTGGGTTTCTAGTAAGCAGCCACTTCCTTCCTGTGGAGGAGGGCTTATGGTGTGGCCAATGTGGCTGGACACTACGAAAAGCAACCGCATGCAAATGTGCACCTGCACGAGGCCTTCCACTGGCATTCTCTGCCAGAGTTTCTAGCACTCTTTGCCAATTCTTGCGCACATGATCGTTTTATCACAATTGTCTGATGTGCTCTCTTTTTGCCTTTCTTGTTATTGACCCTTTGCTCCACTGCTCGGCATGCAACACTGTCTGTTCAGCCCTTCGAATATGTGCATGCCTGCGCCCGCCACTATTTAGCACTCCTACCTTTCCGGGTATTTGCATCTATCTTTCCGGGTTTTTGCATCAGGAGGTTAGTGTATAGCCCACGCTCACTTTGGGTGAGCATATTGTACTGAGACGGGACTTCAATATGTGGTGTCCAACACTCGTGTGCACTTGACCGACTTACTGATGTTCAAAATGCCGCTAGCTCTCCGGCTCCCTGCGCCTAGTCATGAATATCTCTTTACTCGTGGTAGCCTTAAAGCATGAATCAAGGGACTGCGAAATAGTTTTAGGCTGACCCTGTTGCGGTGGAGGGAATGAAATGGATAGACTCTTGTATTCGAAGAGCCTTTTAAAACACATGCACAATATTCATTTGGGCCTTACTCGACCTTGAGAATCCGATTAAACATAGTTTCTGGAAAGTTCGGTCTTACTTGCAGCAGTTCGAGGTTCAGGTTCCTCCATGGTGACCTTCCAACCCACATCGCATGCATGCGGTCACTTTGCAGCTCTCATTACTCCTCATAAACCCCACAGCCATCCTCGCCAGAGGCAATCGGAAAGCAGCTCCATTTAGCATTGGCAAATGAGTAGATTCTTATTGCCCGCAATAGAGAACGGGAGCAAGACGAATAGGCAATCGACCTCCAACAGTGCCTGGCACGCATGTTGCTACTCCCCTTGCTCATTAAAATTTTTTTGGTTCCACCTTAATTTAGGGTTTGCTGAGGTA